TCAACATCCACACTTTCTTATCACATTCCACCTAAACCTGCATGAATTAGGACCTGGCCTGTTCCTGTCAGAGCTAACTGGCTAATAACACTCGGTTAGGTCCAGTCTTTCAGAACCAGCCCAGAAGATAAAAGTCAGATTTGTACTCCTGATCTGTTCTGGTTTATTCTCAGGTTCCAGCTAAAGAATCGGGCTAACATGATGTTATATTTTCAGCTACAATCCTGCTTATCGATTCAGTAACGATCACTTAGAGCAGTGTTTTTCAACCCCTGGTCCTCGGTACACTAGTGTGCCGTAGAAAATCATCCTATTTCACCTCATTGGTCTAAAAAGATTTTTTGATAAGGAATTAATTATCTGCAAATAATATTCCATTTCTGAGTGTGTGTGCTGTTCTAGTGACTGGTGGAGTAATCATGTAATAATTCCTTATGACTAGATTTAGTATTTAATTTTGTATATTTAAGTGGACATGTTAAGAGCAATTTGAAAGAAGAAATATAAGATATGATAAAAATACATTTTTGTGTTTATTTGATTCCTATTCAAGACACTTAACAGATAAGATAAGAATAAGATAAGAATAACTATAGTGTTACTATAGGCGGATACAGATTTGTTTAACATTTTTGGTTGGTGGTGTGCCTCGAGATTTATTCTATGAAAAACTGTACCTTGGCTCAAAAAAGGTTGAAAAACACTGACTTAGACAGACTACACTTTGGAAAACTTTACCAGACACACATTTGGACTTTTATACTCATTCAAAACTCTCATTTGAACAAAACCACTCCTAAAATGATGAGTTTTCTGAGTCCTGTGGAACATGGTTTGACCTGTTGTGGCTCAAACTTCCAGATTTTCCTCCTGAAATGTTGATATTCCTGTCATGTGTCGGTCACAGGGAGAGGAAAACTGTCCATCACACAGCCAGCTAATTTATCTGCTGGTGACCAATAAATGTCAGATTTGTATCCTGATCTGCTCTGGTTTATTCTCAGGTTCCAGCTAAAGAACCAAAACTAACACTTCCTCCCTCTTATTTCACCGGAGATTTAATCCTAAACTCAGAAACGAGTGTGTATTTGTTAAAATAAAAGATGGAATGATGAGTCTTTATTAGATTTCAGTGACATAGATTAAGCCCTTCCTCACTAATTATTGATCTAACGGAAATAAGACAAGTGACCGGATCAGTGGGAAGTGGATTGCATTGGACATTTGAACAAGAATTTATATCATGTTATGGTTTAAAAACAGGTTAAAACTAAGTGAATAAGTGCTCAGTTGACACAAAACAGAAGGGAAACGCTTTGAAATACGTTGGCATATAAATGTCAGATTTGTACTCTTGATCTGCTCTGGTTTATTCTCAGGCTTCCAGCTAAAGAATCAGGCTAACATGATGTTATATTTTAAGCTACAATCCTGCTTATCGATTCAGTAACGATTACTTAAACAGACACACATTTGGACTTTTCCACTCATTCAAAACTGTCATTTGAACAAAATGATTATTTATGTTTATTCTCAGGTTTCCAGCTAAAGAACCAAACTAACACACAGGAGTTTCTCTCTGGGAACTTTAGTTCTGGTTTCAGGACCAAACCAAACATGTGTCAGCGACACGCATCATAAACCTCAGACTCCATAAATCTGACCTCACTGAGGAGCACAAACCGGACTAAACCAGAACAGAGCACTTATGGAAACGTGTTTAAAGCTCTAAAAGTCAGGCAAGGCATTTTTATTTATATAGCGCAATTCATACCAAGCGGCAACTCAATGTGCTTTACATTAAGACAAGACATTTTATATAAAAGAACAGCATAAAACAGCATAAAAAACAAACAAACAAAAAAACATTTAAAAAAAAAAAGGTTAAAACACAGTTAAAAGCAGGAACAAAGACAATAAAGGCAAGGCAAGGCATTTTTATTTATATAGCGCAATTCATACCAAGCAGCAGCTCAATGTGCTTTACATTAAGACATTTTAAATAAAAAAGAACAGCATAAAACAGCATAAAAAAAAAAAAAAA